CCCATCTGTTCCCGCCCCGGCTGCCCGCCCTCTCTGCAGACTTTGACAGCTGTGCACCCTTCAGGACTGACCCCCAGCTCAAAGGTCACACCCCAGCTGCCACGCCCCAGGCACTAGACCAGGAAAAAACATGGCCCGCTTATATGGGCTGCAAAACACAGGGATCCCTTTGTGTTCCTTTACAAAACAAATCCCAGTTCACAGCCAGTTAACAATGTACTCTTACGCACATATTGTTCACCCTACCCATGACAAAGTAGTATATATTTAAAAACTCTTAACAGCCACGGCAGTGCCGGTCCACAGTCAGTCTGTTTAGTCGTGCACTGCTTTGTGCGTCGCTCTTTCACTGGTTGAAGAGCACTGGTGCATCAGAAGCTGATGGCAGGTTTGGACAGATCCCTGACAGCAAAGCCAGGCTTCTCTGCACATTACGCTGAAGGTGGCTGTTGACAGAAGGTGGACGCTTAGGAATACTCACTGTGGACGGCATGTCAGTCAGTGCACCACGCAATACACAAGCAAACTCCTGATTCCATTTAGGAAGGTTCCTCTGCTACGGTGGTTGAGATTGTACACCTGGATAAGGGGCCATGAGGCCTTTTATAGAGAAAGTAGAACAGGGTGGAAAGACATTAAGAACATGAATAAAGCAAGATCCACGATGACAAAAAAAGCTACATTTACTGAAATGTCCACAAATTCTCACTGGATTCAGTCCTCTCTAAAAAGTAAAAAAAAATAGCTAAATGAAAGAGTGCCCCTGTATCAATTTCACGAATAGGTAAATAGTTATCTTTTCACGAACATATTCATTACAGAAAGTCAACAACAGAAAATGAAAGTTTGCCGTTTGTCAGCTGTGGCACAAGGCCACTGGTAATACTGAAATGTCCAGAGGCATTTCATGGAAATCTAAAAGACACCCGTCTTTGGGAAGAGAGCCCAACCTCGTGCGAACAAAGTCATCCCACAGACCTGCATGACTGAGGCTGCAATAAGCCTCTTTAAATGCTTTCTAAACACAGGGTTTCGGGAAAAAAAATACTAATTCTACATTTGAACAGCAACTTAACAAATACAATCATTTGACAGTGAATTATTCATTATAAACTCCTACATAAACTATAAACGTACTTTATAAACTATAATAGTCCTTGCAATAGTAGTAGAATTCTACCAATGCTATGAGTCTAATGGTCTAATTGCTGATTGTGTCAGGGGTAATGATCAATACTTGTACTTGTTTGTGTAAATAATTTGAAGCTAAATGGTGATATATGGTACTTGTTTATACTTGTCACACATTTCAACGCTACTCGTTGGTGATTATAATCATATCGATCACTAGACTTTCTTCAGCAGCCAATCTGCTGCTTTACATGACACCTAGAGCTTACAGAAGGGTGTTGTGGAAAGAACCCTTAGAGAGAATACAACACTCCTCCACAAACTGGTGGATAACTGATCAAGATAATGTGCGTATTTTGGAAGTGGGGACGGATCGAAGACCTTAAATGCCAGGAACACCTATCGCAGACAGTTTGGCCTAATTACAGCGCCGAGGTCCAGAAACGACAGCAAGCTGACAAAGGGAATTTCCGCCGCTTTCAGCAGCCTAACAATTAGCTGCTTATATATGGGGAACCCACCCAGGTCATGAGACCAAGTACCTCAATCTGTTTAAGCAAACATTAATAAATCTGTCATCTTAGCTCTCAGGAAGCCGAACTACAGAGATACAGAGCTTGGTACGTAGCTGGAAGACAGCACCGAGGTCAAAGGTTGCCGCAGGGAAACATCAATCATCTCTGCAACAAACATCAAGGGATGTCCAAATGGATGGTGTGAACTGGATCAGATGAACCCCGGGCAGAACATATATGACACGGCTGCATTAAATCATCTGTTCCACGGTACTCTGGCACCTACAGATATATGCTTCACAAATTCAAGCTAAAACATTTCAAACATTCTGTCAGCTGTATAATTTTAAAGCAAAAATTAAAACAGAATAAAATACACATTAAGACTAGATTACCATCCTGTTTGAAGCCTTACAAATAAGGATTTAACAGGCATTTAATTAACTTGCAAATTAATGGTGCATAGCATGTTAATCAGATGTTGGTGAATATTCAAACCTTAATGAAGGGAATATAAGGGGTAGATTGTAATACAAACCTGACACAGTGTTTTACAGTTTATGTAATATCCTGCACATCCACATTCTTGTACAGCACATAGCACCATGGCAACAGACCCTCAAACTCTCACACAGCGCCATGACAACAGACCCTCACGGCACCACCTCTTATCGGCTACCGTATCCTTGGATGCTCACCATAACAGCACCATGACCTACAGAGTACCCCAGGATGGTTAAATACAACCCCCAAAAAGTAGCAGGAGAATTTGAGCTTGAATTAATACTGTGCATACTGTAATAATCAAGTTATTCAGATGCATACTGTTTTAAGTAATATATGGACCATGTGGTCTTTAAGATGCAGGGTTTTTCATGTATGGTTTGTCCTCACAGTAAAATTAAATGTAAATTTTCAAACCTGGCCCTGTGTGAGCACATCTTACACGGGGAGGGGGGGTACAGGCCTACACAGCCAGTATATGGGTCTCCCCCTCTCCCAGCCGCTGCAGACTTCAGGTATTCTAGCACAGCTGTAAACCACATGACCTGTAATGATGGATTTTCAGTGAATAAATTATTTGGAGTATTATATTTACATTTCTTGTACTTAATGAGATTATAATTGCCATAATCTCTCTGACTCTCAGTCGTGAAGGGCTTGAATTACAGTTGTTCAATTGTGAACAAACTGAAGGAAGAATCGTTCAGTGAATGAACTGAAGAGTTACACAGCGAACAATACAAACAAGTCGGTTTAGTGACCATCATTCCGTTAAGTGTATTTGTTTCCTGTGGGCAATTGCGTCGGAAATAGGGGGACGCATCCCCCAAATAAATAATTTTAATAAATAAATAATAAATAACACCCCCCATAAATAAATGATTAAGTGCATGTTCCTTATCTTTCATTATGAATCCGCGCGTTACTGAGGCCAATACGTACGCTGCGCATACAGATTTTATCATATGGATCAGTTATTTAATTGTTTGGTTATTTTTAGTTATGAAACTCTAGGCTACCCTAAATAGTAGGTCTTATTTTAAATGATTACATCTTTCTTGTTAAAAAAATTATTTAAAAATATTTCTGACGTCGCATCCTTTCACGATGTGACTATTGCATGTGTGCCAACGTTATGATATACATTTCACCCCCCCCCCCCCCCCCCCGGGGAAATTCGGTCCTCCGCAATGTCAAACTCCTTCCGATGCCACTATGGAAAAGCTCCAGTTTGCGAAGCATTAAAATCATACCGGTGCCACCACTGCTGATATAAAACGCTCTTTTTTGTAGGCTTGTGTAACCTGAAGTCCATATGGGTCGTTGCTATTTGCGACCCCCCCGGACACACGCACCCTAAGCAGGCTTGCAAAAGCCACCGAGTTTTCCCTGCGTGTTTTCCCGGCCGCCGGGCGGATTCCCCGCAGGGTGAATCCCAGACCAAGATGAATCCCGCATGACACACGCAGCTCCGCTCCGCGGCCATGGAGGACCGCCTGTGGCAGCATCTCCCGTCTCAGATCCCGGAAAAAAAAAAAAAACTATCGAGAGTCCCTGTCAAAGACTAAAAATACTTTTCTGCCACAGTCGTGACATTTGCACAGGCGACTTACCGGCTATAAATTACGCTGCTCGACATAACCGCTTTAATTCGCTTCTACGGGGAATATTCTGTTCCACCGGGAAACATTTAATTATACACATTAAATGTGTTTTGGTAGACTAAAATTTCAGACATTTCTATATGAGGAATACAAGCGTGAAAAATACATGAAAATACGCTAGAGGCACTGTAGTACCTATATATCCCAGCGCTTAAAATAGACGACCATTCGTGTTATGTAACCAATAAAATCCCCAAACTGTCAGCTGTTCAAAGACAGCGACTAAAGCAGAGGGTGCCGATTTGTCGTAACGACGTTAAGTGGGACCCCCCCCCCCCTCCCGGTGCATGCGTCAGATGCAGCTCTGCGCTGTGTACTGCAGTGGCCCCGGCCGGGGTAACACTTGTTTACAACCGTACTTTCTCGTGCTTTTGCACGGCGCCGCTGTTTACATATTGAGCGACACAAACACGGTAATAAAGCCATGGTTCACGGCCTCTAAAAATGAGATTATCTCTGTGAGCGCCTCCCCTAGATGTTTACTTCTCAATATGCCAAGTGTCTTAATTAGGCTACTGAAAAATATTTTCCATGCATACATACTTTTGAGTGCTGACAAGTCATTTGCCGATATAACTCAATGCTTTAGTTACACACCCCGTCCTCCTTTAATAAGAGTATCTCACGTTTTCACGGCAGCTTAATTTAGGTTTTACGCTAAGAAGAAAACAGCACCATGCCTATAATAACCCACACAGCTCTCGGATTCCCTGTCAAGTGCAAACGGAATATTGACAGTTGAAAACATTACACCGAGACTGAAGCATACAGTATATGTTTCACTATCAGAAATGTAATTTATTGCACAGAATTTAACTTGCATGTATTTGGGGTTCAAAATTAATACTTATACCTGAAGTGATTTTGGACCCTTTGAGCACCTGCTAGTTTTTTAACTGTATATTACGGCGGTGAAAGTTGCATAGCCCAGTCATGCATTTCACTTAAGGCTTTATTTTGCATGAACGAGAAACGGCGTAGAAGCAGGTGTTACGGGAATGGGAATAAATAAGGAAACGAGTCAGTTTTGCGGTACCCGTTTCGCTGCGCGGAAAGGGGCGGCCTTAATCCCTTAAAAGGGAAGGCTGTTTTTCTGTATGAGTCGCTCATGCTGTCATCAATCAAAATTCGGAACCAATCAGCCAACAAGATGGGCGGGTCTGCGAACACGCCTTCCCTACGTTTCGCTCCACCCCGTGTGTGTATATGTGTGTGTTTTTCTTTCCTTTTTTTGAAACTAAAGCTGGATGCGTAGAGCGTCACATGTTGTTTTTCCTGGCCGGTATGCGTTACACTGTGCTAAACTGTATCAGATGCGGAGCGGGCGGATGAGATAAGAGTGTACCGACGCACTTCGGAGCAGATCGCAATAGGGAGCAGAAAGTGAGAGTTCAGGGAGCCGGGATGGCGAGTCCGCCGCATGCCGGCGACGGCGTTGAGAAGTGCGGCTATCTGAGGAAACAGAAGCACGGACACAAACGCTTCTTCGTGCTGAAGGCGCCGGGCGACGGCTGCCCTGCTCGTCTGGAGTGCTACGAGAACGAGAAAAAGTGGCGAAACAGGTCGGCAGCCCGGCGGGTCATACCGTTAGACTCCTGTCTGAACATCAGCAGGAGAGCGGACGCCAAACACCGGCACCTGATCGCCCTCTACACCAAGGACGAGTACTTCGCTGTAGCTGCCGACTGCGAGCTGGAGCAAGAGGAATGGTACGCAGCGCTGGCGGGTTTGATGACTGGAGGGAAAGTACACGCCGGCTCAGAGTCGTCTTTGGTGGGATTGGAGGATGCCGACTATGGCATGATCACGCCAGCGAGCGCAGCTTATAAGGAAGTATGGCAGGTAAATTTGAAATCTAAAGGACTGGGGCATAGCAAGAACCTGACAGGGGTGTACAGACTGTGCCTGTCCAGCCGGACCATCAGCTTTGTTAAGCTGAACTCAGAGGTCGCCTCTGTGGTTCTGCAGCTCATGAACATACGGAGGTGTGGACACTCGGACAGCTTTTTCTTCATTGAGGTGGGCAGGTCTGCCTCCACCGGACCTGGTGAGCTCTGGATGCAGGCAGATGATTCTGTGGTGGCGCAGAACATACACGAGACTATCTTGGAGGCTATGAAAGCAATGAAGGAGCTGTGCGAATTCCGGCCGCGGAGTAAAAGCCAGTCCTCGGGCACCAACCCCATCTCTGTGCCCACTAGGCGGCACTTGAATAACCTGCCTCCCAGCCAAACCGGGCTTCTCAGGAGGTCCAGGACGGACAGCGCTGCAGCTACGTCCCCCGTTGGGAAGTTCAGCTCCTGTCGCGTCAGGACTGCCAGCGAGGGGGATGGCACCATGACCCGGCCCGTATCTGTGAACGGGAGCCCTGTCAGCCCCTGTGCCAGTCGGGCCCCTCTGGGGAGGTCTAACACGGTCACGGCACGGCCCAGCCGCATGTTCGAGATGTCCGCGTTGCAGCACAGCAAGTCCATGTCCATGTCCTCCCCACCGTCGATCGCCAGCCCGGTGAGCCTCTCCTCCAGCAGCGGCAATGGCTCCGCCTCCGATGCCCTTCCGAGGCCTCCCAGCGCTTGTGCATCTGTGTCTGGCTCCCCCAGTGATGCTGGGTTCATGTCCTGTGATGAATACGGGTCCAGTCCCGGTGACCTGAGGCCACACCTAGGGAACAGGAGCGATACGCCAGAGTACATGACCGACACGCCCCCTTCACGTGATGGCAGTGACCTGAATGGCTATGAGTTGATGGAGAGGCAGGCCGGGGAGTGCTGGCGGAAGTGCCGCGATGAGGAGTCTGACAAGGCGTACAGGAAGCGGACTTACTCGCTCACCACGCCACCCCAGCAGAGGGCGCCCTCACAAGTTTCCTCTACCTCTCTGGATGAGTACACGTTGATGAGAGCGACGTGTTCCACCCTCTCTGGCCGGGGATTACGCAATGTCTCTCCAAAAATTGCATATCCAGAGGATTATGGAGATGTAGAAATTGGGTCCCTGAGGAGCTCGAGCAGTAACCTGGGTGACGATGGCTACATGCAGATGACCCCAGGCGTGGTACCCCTGACTGGCAGGAGCGAAAACTATATGGCGATGAGCCCCATGACGGTTTCTGCTCCCAAGCAGATAATCAATCCCAGGGTGCATCCACCAATGGCCGGCAGTGGGGGAAGGGTAGCGTCCCCCAGTGGCTCCCTGGATGACAGTGGCTACCTCAGGATGTTGTGTGGCCACAAGCTGTCCATGGAGAGTTCTGACGGTAAGCTGGTGAACGGCGAGTACATGAACATGTCCCCCGTGGAGCCCTGCGTGTCCTTCACGCCCCCAGACTGCTTCCCAGGATGCCTTGCCCCCGAATTCCAGAGGACGTTCCCCTCTAGCATGCTGCTTCACTCCCACCGGACCCCCACTAGGAACAGTGATGACAACGACCAGTATGTGATGATGAGGAGCCTGCAGGCTCCGAAAGCCGTGGACGAGATGAGCTGCCGGGTCACGCCTGCCGATTCGCCGTCACCCAGGCTAAGCTGGGGAGAGTCTCTGAGGGGGAGGGTCAATCGGCCCACCAGACTGTCCCTGGAGACGGTGAGGACCCTGCCAAGCATGCAAGAACTTCCTCTTCCCAAGGAACCGAAAAGTCCGGGTGAATATATCAATATAGACTTCAGTGAGGCTGCAAGGTGTTCCTTCACCTCACTGCCCTTGGGGGGCCGGGCCACATCACCGCTTTCCAGCTGCGTGAACATGGACCAAGCCACTGTGTCACCAAGTCCTGTAGTCGCCAGCAATGGGGGTCTCCCATCGCTTTCTTGCCCCCCTCAGTTGGATGAGGTAAAGGATGACTACACAGAGATGTCCTTCACAGGTCCTGGGCCCCCCTCTCAGAGCACGGATGGCACCCCCCAACCCATCAGCCCCAGCGGCAGCATGCAGCAGCTGACCCTCGAGGACCAGCCCGTGCCAGGAATGGAGACGTTCCTGGTGCCCATGGTCCAACCTGACCCGGACCGGGGTGCCAAGGTGATCCGGGCCGACCCACAGGGGCGTCGTCGGCACAGCTCGGAGACATTCTCATCCACCACCACCGTCACGCCAGTCTTTCCCTCCTTCGCCCACGACCCTAGGCGGCACGGCTCGGCCTCCGTGGAGAACGTGTGGGCACGTGGCAGCCAGGGTTCCGACGGGGAAGCCGGGAGCCCCATGTGCCGAGAGACCTCAGCCGGTTTCCAAAATGGACTCAACTACATCGCCTTAAACCTGATGGACGAAAACCTGGGCGCCTGTAAGAGCTTGATGCAGCTTAAAGCCACCAGCTGCTGCAAAGGGGGCATCAACGCTTTGCATGGTGTCCCATTTGTCGGCCTGGCCTTCAAAGAGGCTGCTGCTGTGGTTAAAGGTGAGTCTCTCTCCTTTGCTTGGTGTCAGAAAAAAAATGTATGCATGCATGGGCTCTTTTGGGGGCTGTTTTTAAGATAATTAATCTGCATTTTGAACTACCGATTAGTTTCCCTGCTAGGGCCACCTGCTAAGATTCTGTAGGTTCCTTTTGCACCGTTATGCATTTTCTTGCGCGTGTGATTCTGTTGAACTTTACCGGAATACGCGACTCGTGGTCCCGGTGACTGCAGCACGTGGATGCTGGCTGCATTAACCGCGTGTCCGTCACGCACACGCTTCAGGGGCTGTTTCCGATCGACTCTGATATGACTGCGTTTCCCCAAACGCTGAACTGTTGCCATGGTTTTTCCAGGACAATTAAACAGAGGTGAAAATTAGAGTGCTCTGGCCCTTTAACGATGCAATATTTATGTGTCTGCCATTTAGGACTGGATTATGGTTACATGGTACTCGTGATATTTTTGGCAGCCTTTTTTACATTTTAAGGGAAATGGATAAGTGTAGCTTATTATTTTAAAAACGCAGCTGGCTGGATGGTGTTGCGTAACGTGCCCTGGTGAGGTCCTGCTTCTGGCGCAGGGCGGCTGGTGCTTTTAGGATGATGTCGCAGTGCCCTGGGATCAGGGGATGCGAGGGCGACGTCCGTTTTCTGATAAACAGCCTAAATAGGAAGCCCCCACAGCCGATTTTAAAAAGCACAAAATCATTGACCCCCTTACTGAAATTGAAAGGGAAGCATTTTGCTTTTCTTTTAATTTCTTCTGGCGTTTTAGATTCTAGGATTTAATCTCCTAAGTGTATGCATGACATCTGCCTATGAGGATTGTTTTAAACTGAATTACCTTGCAGAGCCTCTACACATATGGAAAAATTAGTTGCAGCGAATGCTCTCAGTAGGCTATCCTCTCCCTGTGATATTAAGTATTTTAAGTTTATTCGTGTGTAGTTAGGAGGGTGTTATTCTCAGTGACCTGCATGAATACGTGCATATCACAGGGAATTTAATAATACTGAATCATTTTTCACCAAAGCTTTAAAATTTTGCGTGACTTTACATTTTGACGGTACAATGTAGATAAATCGAGGGAACTACAATGCGGCTCTGTTGTATGTTTAGGTAGGTCTGCTGGCGGAGATCAGTCTCTCCGTTACACGCAGGGGTGGTCTAGGTTTTGTCCTGCCTTGGGGAAGGGTAGGGCTGCTTAATCTCTGCAACGTGGAGGAGCCGGTGACACCGACGGCCGCGCAGAGGAAATACTCGCCACGGGCTAAGCCGCGCGGAGCCCCGTAACAAACGGCGGGACACGCGATCGCGGTCTCATTTCTCCCTAAATACGCCATGAGCTGTTCTCTCTGCCCTAAAAGACGCCAAAGTCTGCTTGTGTTTGTGGAAACAAGAGTCGTGGATGCGCTGTATCTCAGTGGAACTTAATTTTATTTTTCAAGCAAATTAATGAAATGCCTCTTCTCTTTGCGAACTCAAAATGTGTATTAGTTTAGTTGTAATTCTTCTAGCAGTATATAGATAAATTGGAGCAGGTCGTTTATAGCTTAATGGTGTGGCACGTGTGAATACTTACTCTGATGCCAGACCTGTACTGTAGGATCCTTATATTAAATATAAATCGTCATTGTACTGGAGGGGACTGAGAAAAAGAATTTTTATGAAGTCAGATGTTGAATCCTAATGCAGGCTTTTGCATGGGTAGCTGGTTTGGTCACTGGGACCTGAACTGGGGCTCTGTAAAACATCTCTGTGGCCTTGTTAGCAGCTGACTGCGGATGTTTTTTCCGGATGCATCCGGAGTCTCTTGGATTGAGGTCACAGCAGGCTGGAGGTAGACGGACGGAGCCCATAAAGTAAATACGCATGTCTTCCGTGGGGAATCCTCGCCACCTTCCCACACGTAAGACGTTTTTAATGTGTAGCATCCATTTTGAGAGTGTGCTGGACAGCTCGGGGCTGGGGGGTGCGGAGGTGTGAGTGCCGGGCTGTTCCGGGAATGACCTGGCTTGCGGTGGCCGGCAAAGAATGTAATAACCTGCATAAATAATTTAGGCCCGCGGCCGGAATGTCAACAGACAGAATAGCGTTTCCACGGTGGCGTTCCGTTCCGGCCCGGCCGGAATCCGCCTTTCGCTCCGGCATCCGACATACCGCCTCTCGCCTCTGGAATCCTAAAACTCCCGGCTGCGAAGCCCCAAGTCTTGTTTTCTCCTCTGAAAACAGCTAAATGAAAATAAGAGAAATTGCCAGCCGAATGCTGTCAGTTTTGCACCTGACAGTACACACAAGGGGGGGGCGGATGCACGCACAGCTTAGGCGGGATGGTCTGTGTTTTTGTTTGTGAGTGTGGGGGGTGGGGGGTGGGGGGGCCTCTTTCGGGACACTTCTGAAGTTCTCTGTCGCATTGCTGTGTGACTGCGGCCTGTTCAGACCCCAGGGCCTGTCCGCTCCGCTCCTGTATTCCTCCTGCTTGTCTTGGGCCTCCTCGACAGGAGCTTCATGTGTGACAGATGGTTCACCCTCAGCACCTGCCACTCCAGCGATGGCTTATGCCCGGACTCGCCAGAACCTCTCAGAGCACAGTAATGGCTGCCCACCATCTGCTATAGCAACACCACAGGAGCTGGTATTTGTCCTTCATTCAGGGGGGTGGGGTACACTTAAAGGCTGCCTTTCCACAACCGAGATATTCTTTGGCTGGTGGGTAGGGGGCTGGGGGGGGGGATGGGCTCCAGGCTTCAGTGTGTTTGCATGTGTTTTTGATGCCGGCCTTATAGAAACTCAGAGGCACTCATTAGCGTCGGGTCCGTCCTGGGGACCAGGGCCGTCCCGGGGACCAGGGCCCCCGCTTATCGCTGGACGAGGCGTTGGGTTGGGTTTCCCGCTTTTCTCATTGGCTCAAAGCCTCAGCCTCGCTCTCTTTGAAAGGCCGCTTTTGACTGTGAGGCTCACAGGCCTGGAAATTCGAGCGTGTTTCTCCCAGCCCAATGTGGGCGGGGCGTGCAGCATCATTGTTAGTGGAGGTTGGTGCCCCCTCCCCCTTTTATTAGCCAATCCTGCACTCTACGAGGGGGGGGGGCGGGGGTGGATCATTTGGG